TAAAATTGAATCATTACTTAGGACCTGTTTGGGTCGGATTAAAATCTGATTTTAATCTAAATCAAAGTTAAACAATCAATATTTACTACATCTTCCATGAGTTTCACATCTTTTCAACCACACATTTCAAAATTCTTTATCACAATCCAATAAAAATCTAATTTCAATCCCCATCAAATACCCTCTAAATCATCACCTTGTAAAAAAGTCTCGATTTGAATTTTCAGGCGTCAAAAATAAATAGATAAAAGTGAGATAGAAAAAAATGAAATAATTTAACGATGTCAATTTGGGTCCACCAAAACTTTTTCTAAAATTTGTTGGCGTCATTGCACTTCATAAAAACATTATTGACTAAGAAAGTTCTTAAACTAATTCTATAGTATGGGACACGCTTTCGAGTGCCCCACATCTTCAAAAGACGCGAAATGAAAAATACGATTGAGATAGTGTTGGTGACTTGTTGATAAAGTGCAAACTAGTCAATACAGTGATCGAAATTTCAAAATTGTCCCAATCCAAATTTCCTATAAATACAACTGCACAAACAAAAGGTATGCAATAGCTAAAATTCGGCCAAACGTTCATCCATTTATTTTTGATAATCGACATGAGAGCTGGAGTGCAAATAGTCGTTGAATCATCCTTGATACGATGACCATGCATTCTTATGATGTCATAATGTGCAGATGCATAAATGGATGAAAAGATAACATAAATTTATTGACAATGGGGTCATACACATTTAACAAAATATAAATAATTTAGAAGGACTTGGAGTTGAAAATATAAATTATCAACGTCAAATATATTGCTTTAAAAAAGAAGGAAATTCAGTGATCATTTCGCTTAAAGAGCATGAAAATTTGTGGACACTTTCTGGGAAATTCCAAGTATTCTCACCTGTCTTTTTCATTTTCATGCATTAGAAGGATCGGAATAGAATTTTCTGTCCTTAAATTACGTAATTTCTTGGAGATGTTTAAAGTTGGTAAATATTTCTTGAAAATTATGGGTATTAGGCGCGTTCTCTTTTTATGATTAGAATTTACATGAATAAGATAGTGGTTAGCAGGGCCGACCCTCGTAATTTTGAAGCCCCATACGACTAATTATCATGAAACCTTAAACATAATTTTCTACAAGTTGATCAACACTAATTTTGACAACCTATCTCATTGTTCAAAAGAAATTCGTGAAACGGCCCTTGAAATTGTGTTCGGTCTAAGGAAATTATTCTTTATATCTTTCAAACTGATTTGATCTCTTTGAGGGATTGAATGAGTTTAAATTTACAAATTCTAGTTTGCTTACTGAAAATAAACAAATACATAAATTCCACGACATACACTTTGGCCGATGAATGGTTGCTTCTGTTGGAATTTTGTATTGGAA